ACTTCAAAGGAAGCTACCAATTAGTTGACTCTTACGACATGCTTTTTGGTAGGCAGTGAGTCTATTCTTGTTTTCCCCCACAATGGGGCCCCGGATCCCACACGGGGATGTACCAGGTTGAAATAGTCTTCCCCTATCATTTGCCAGTCTCTGCATTTCCAATTATGTTATAAATGAACAGAATCCCCTGAATTATAACGTTTTTTTTTTTTTGGTAAATTTCCGACCGGAACCATAGACTACAATTTGTAGGTCTGTTAGGTCTGCACTGGATTTTTCACTGTGTCCCTTGTAAAAAAATTTTTTTGTCTTGCATTTTACAAAGCCAACTTGAAATTTTTTGTAAAAAAAAAAATTGCTCTGGGTCTAGCACAAAATCCTGTTATGAGGTAAAAGATATGTACAAGAAGATGATGAATTCTCAATCACTCACGTTTCTCTCACACAATCACTCACAATCCAAATTCATTTAAAATTGACCTACATTTCAGCACTCTCTCATTTCTTGATCAGTGGGTCAACCTTCATCAGCGTCCTCATCACCAAATGACAATAAGTTTGTGTTTTTTGTCATCTTGCCTGAGGATTGTTTCCCTTTATCAGATGGTTTCTTCGGTTTCTTCTTCCCATCCTCAGTTTCTGCAGTGTCTTCAGGAGGTTCCTTTGTCCGCTTGACTGGCTTCTTAAATGTTATTTTCTCGTCCAGTCTTGCTGGCCCTGTAACCAAAATAAAGTACAACATATTTGTTTCTTGTTTACCTAATGGGCTGGTCATCTTGTTAGAATACAACCACAACTATCACCAACACAAGTGCTGGTACTTAATTTATAACTTACCCCTGACGTCATGACAACGTCACGGGAGACATTCCCAATAAATTCTAGGGTGTTCAGATTGTAGTTTCTCTCGATTTGTCTACAGCAAAGTTTAGGGTTAGGGTTAGGATTAGAAGACACTAGATGAACACTCAAAAAAAAAAAAAAAAACAGCACACTTGCACCCCTTTAAATAATGGACTGTCAGGTCAGCTGTGGATTTCCCACGGGGATTTCGTGTTTGGGGTACGTTATAAATTAAGAACCCAAGTGCTATACCTGAAAAGATGTTATGTGAAATCAAGAGGCTGCCCTAAGAGAAGATGGACTGATGAAAATAAACACCTACATCGACAGTGAATCACAACAGTCATTTCTACTCTTCAACCAATGGATTTCAAACTGTTCCTCCCCCATGACGCTCAACACAAAAGTGGAAATTGATGATGATGTTGAAGGGGACTCTGAACTGTGCAGGTATGGAGAGGCACCCCAGGATACTCAACATGTGCTACAGACATGCTCTCTACATGCAGGCTGGAGGATAATGACCAATCTAGGACACTAACATGACTGCATGACCGAGGAGTAAGCTTGGTGAAGCATGACTATGCTTCATCAAGGTAAAGTTTTAACATACAGATTGAACTTTAAATTAAATTAATAAACTTTTCCCTGTGTGGGTTCCGGTTCTCCATTCTGAGGGGAAAAAGATCAGAACCAAGGCCCCTCCCTCTTTACAAGCACGTTGTAAAAGGCGATTAATCAGGGGTATTTCCTTTGAAGTCAGAGTGCATCTGCCTAATAGGCAAGTCTACATTGAAATAAGCCAGATCTGTGAAACAGACGTGCATGCAAAACTCAAGGTTCTGGAAAAAGACCAAACCCAGATGTGGCTGAACAACCAGAAGTTTACAGCTGGTGAACACTAAGAAAAAGAAGAATTCCGCCGGATACTGACCACACCGTCCATCAAGCGCAAAATGATATATATATTCTGTACAGGCAACAGCATTAGTGTTCTGGCTAGGTGTTCACCTGCCCACCCGAAGGTCTTGTGTTGAAATCTGTATGACCATTTTTTTAAACTGACCTTGGCTTCCAGGCTGAACCAGTCTAAAATGGGTACCAGGTAATGTTCTGGGAAGTAAAGGTGGTCAGCATGATGCTGTCCACATTACCCATCTAGGTTCAACTGGTCTATAAACACAGGAGTCCAGCATTATATTTCTGGTGCATACTAGCGTAAAAACTGTCCCATACTTTACTTATATCTTAGCCATCTTTATAGTTTTGTTTTGAGGCACCAAAATATCAATAAGCACACACAAAAAGCAGCTGATAAATGTGCTATACATAACAACTTAGTGCTATCAATGCCATCCATACTGGACAGTCCTAAAAAAATTGTTGAATGTTGAATTAAGAATCAACAACACAGCACTTGACACAACCCCTTAAGCACCTCTTCCCTATCTTCAGCAGCAAGCGAAGCGTTCCAATTCTGATGGTAACCAGTAACTGTCTGATTGTATATCTATCTTGCCTATTCCCTGAGTGTCGAGCATCGGCTAGATCCTCTGGTAACTCCTCGCAGCGCCATTCTCCTCAGACCGTAATGATCTATCTGTTCCTCAGCACTGTTCACTTAGTCCGAAGGATCCTCACAACATCCAGCTTTTCAAACATCAGTTCACCACCAAGTAGTGCAGAACTGGCCAGTCTATCTGCCTACTCATTTCCCAACACACCAGCATACCCTGGAGAAAATACTGGACAGTCTTAGAAAAATCATTAGCGCAAAATTACAACACTTGAGATTTGATGTATAAGAAATGAGATGAAACAACAAGAAGAACCACCAATTAAAAAATTAGAACAATGCTAGGAATAGTACTGGTAAATTATTTCACAGAACAACACAGGATCAGATGTTTGGTCATCTGGTCAGAATAGAACAAAATCATCCAGCAGCTTCAAGGCAAGAGGCTGACCAAGGATGAGATGGGTGGAGGGAGTGATAGAGATACTAAAGAAATGCAATATGATATTAACCAAGCTAGGCAACTAGCCATACCATACACGGTATACACTAAAAGAAGAGATAGACAAATAGCATGAGGTAGACCAAGAACAAAATGGAAAGATAACATCAGAGAAACTTTACAACAGCATATGTCTATGATCTGCAAGAAGCAGAACCTTGACATTTCCCTCATCACCTGAGTGGTAAAAGAGGAAATGAAGAAGAAGAAGAAGAAGGCAACTAGCAAAAGATGGGAAATTCCTGGCATAAGCAGTAGGACAAAAATAAAAATAGAAGATTTGTTTTCTCACCATCTTCAACCAGCTTCTGTTCAGCATGTGCTTCCTCTGCAGTCAGATCTCCTGACTTGACAACTACAACCACTGGCTTCTCATCTTCTTTCTCTGGGGCATATTCATCCTCCTCATCCTCATGGTCATCAAAGTTGGGCATGTTTCTCTACGGGAGAAAAACAGAGGACCTTATGGCAGCTTGTAGAGATCTTAATACAAATTTTATCTAAGAAACACTGTACAGGGTCTTCTTGACTTAAACTACTAAGTTCCATTCTCACTAACAGGTTGTAGATCAAACTCATCGTAAGATGATATTTTTCAACACTATATTTTATTCAAACAGGTTACAAAACATACTGTACAAAAATCACTAAACCTATAATTACTGTACTAATGTGAACAATACATAACATATTCTATATTGTATCCCTGCTGAGGTAACTGATTTCTTTCATTATTTTTATTTATTTGTTTGTTGTTGTCGTAAGTGGGGATGGTTGAAAGTCGCAAGTCGAGGAGAAGCTGTATCTGCCACAACCTCAATACATATTCTGGGGTCTCCATGGGGAAGCAGTCAAGCCATCTGCCTTGCGCTCTGAAGGTCATGGCTTTGATTCATGGACTGCGTCACTCACATCAGTGCAGTTTTTATGGAGATGCCCAGAAAGAATCCCTGGAGCTCAGACTTTGCCTAACACTCACAGCAGGAGGTCAGCTGTTTTGCAGACAGAGACCAAGGCTTATAGGATCAAACTTAGTGCAATGAAGGATGCTACTCTTGACCTTTTATTTATACACTGGGGATGCAAGGACAGTTGCATTAGTCACTAAATAAACACATATTCTGGATGTAAGGACAGTTGGGCTATCCTCCAAATAACGGTCCTAAATTATGGAGGCGAAAAATATACCCTAACAGGGCCTCAGTCAGTGTCAATTGTGCACTTCCGGGGACTATAACACCACCGCCGAATTGCGAACTTCCGGCGACTTCCGCCACCGCAGAGTGTGCCCCTACGCGGCGTGGATTGGGACTAAACTAGATGGTTAGGACTCATGAGCAAATAAAATGAAGGAAGCTGCAGGAGATGCTGTAGAAAAATCCAAAATCAATACATATTCTGGATGTAAAGACAGCTGCATTAGTCACTATGCTAATATACATTCTGGATGTAGGGAAAACTGCATTAGTCACTACATCATTATGGATGTAAGCAATGTTGCATCAGAAATGTGTAACTTTACTATTACTACCAATAATAGTAGTATTAATACTGGCGAGCTGTGACTGGAGAATGTTCTACATAGGAACTACAATACGATGATGGAATTTCTTGCATATCTCCTGGAGTTACACACTCGTACTTACTCAATTAGAAATAAAACAGTGTGCATGTAATGTAATGTGCTATATAATTACATATTTATTTATGGTCCTTGACTGCATGGAGGGTGGCGCGGTGATTTCGGTCACAGGCATGAGGCAAAGTTAAGTCTGATGTGAGGTGTATAAGGAGACACTACGTACCCCACTCGGGCGCCAGTCCTTCACTGTTCTGGTTTTACGGAACCTCATGCAAGACTCCTGTTGCACGTCCCCGTCGTGCGCCACGGATAATGTCTCAAATGAGCATTAACAGAGTTGGCAGGGGATCTCGGAGCTGGCGGCTCCCAGAGGTGTGGTGTCCTTTCTGGCTCTCACCAGCCCGCCCCCAAACGCATGGGTGAAAAGTCTAACAAAACTCAAAATTGCTTGCTAAATGTACCATCAAATGACAACTCTTGGTTAAAATTCGGGAGGGAATTTAAAACTGTGCTGCTGAGACTCAACCCTGACCGAGAGATTTACCCGCAGCCAAGACGAGTAACATCTCTTGTGGGCGACTTCTCGCAGCAAGATCCTACCTACGTACATCCTCTGTCAATCCTCAGTGTCGTCGTCACCGTGCTGAGGTACACCACGGCAGCAACTTTTCATATGCTGGTTTGGAAATAATGTCCGACAAAGTTATACCCCACGGCACACATGCAAGCTCAGAGTCCGGCGATCATAATTCGTACCGATTAGGGAAAAGACCGAATGTCCACTGGTCCAACTCGCCCGAGTGTTGGGACCAAACAGGTGAAGCCACGCCTGACACATTTTGCTTCCCAATTTTGTCGTGCTAAGGGCACAGCTGAAAAAACGTTAAAGGTGTCTAGCGTAAGATGAAAAAGAATGTACCTATTTGTGTGGCCACAAACGTCCTAGACCTGCGGGCTGCTCCCCGCTGATCTCCGGAGAGCGCAGCCTTGTAGCGCGGGAAGCTCAATACACGGTTGTGAGGTTAAGCAGTCATGGGCAGGACGTGACGATTCCTTGGGTGAGCCCAGAACCAGAGCATCATGTGTCGGCTCTGCATTTATGGAAGCCTCCTTGGATGGCGGGGAATGCCTATGATCTGCCCCTGCCTTCCCTTGAGGGCTGAAAACTCTACATAGAGCTGCCTTAAGGACGACATGCCGGGGGCCACACCTGTTAAAAGTCAAAGAGGACACCACACAAATGAGGCAACATCTCGACCCACACAAAACAATGGCCACAGTCAACCTAGAAATAGGCTTGACGTCTTCCTCCGAAGTCGGAGTACATCTGCCGGAGAGGCGGGGAACGAGTACTGCAAACAAATAAGCCAGTAAAACGGATGTACGCGCAAAACTCAGGTCAAGGTAAAAGCCAAAAGTCCATTTTGGACGAACAACCGCGACTTACCGCCGGAATTCACAGCCGGTGAACAAGAAGAAGAAGAAGAAGACTGCATGGAGGGGGAAATCAGGAACGGTGAGCTGGCTATTAATGTAATGTGCTATATAATTACATATTTATTTATGGCCCTTGACTGCATCGAGGGGGAAATCCTCCCCCCCCCCCCCCCCCCCCCCCCCCCTCCCTCCCCCCCCCCCCCCCCCCCCCCCCCCCCCCCCCCCCCCCCCCCCCCCCCCCCAGGAATGGTGAGCTGGCTAATAATGTAATGTGCTATATAATTACATATTTATTTATGGTCCTTGACTGCATGGAGGGGGAAATCAGGAACGGTGAGCTGGCTGTTATTTAATGTGCTATATAATTACATTTTTGGGACCGGTATTCAGAAGAGTGCCCATATTTATTTATGGTCCTTGACTATATGGAGGGGGAAATCAGGAGTACATGAATAAACGCTGATTGCAAATAGTAGGTCAAGGGATGCATATTATTTGAGAAGAAACAAATAAAACATACTAATTAAATTAGTATATTAAATACAGTAACGTTTTTAACTGGCAACAACAACAGTCCCAGAATCAAATGCTCTTCTAATTATTGTGAAAGTGGAAAACTTAACGCCAGCGCGTCTTACTCGCCGTCGCTTATGTATGGGCTGTGATCCCCATGCCTCTCAAAACTCAAAGAAACAAGACAATGTCAATAATAATAAACGTATAACAACTCACTATGGTATTACTAACTAGGAGTTTTTGAGACAGCAATCTAGTCCTTCTTCTATATATAGAATGAAGACGTAACTAATAATAAAATGTGAAGACTGAAAGGTGTCGTATGTGCGTATGTCATTCATTAACAACTGTTTACGTTAGTTTACAACGTCAACGAACGCGACAAATAATTAATTTTAATTAGTAATTTAAATTATTACAAATTGTTTTTTACCTTGGAATTTATACTAGGGCCTTCTTTATATCCAATTTTTTCTTTGAACTGTTGGATAAATGCTGGCTCCTCGTTATTAACGTACTGAACTCCGTTTCTAGGCATCTTTCAAACAATACAACTCTTGATGGAGGCACTAAATACGACTGAAGCTGAAACAAGCAGTGTTGCCACTTTTCTTTGACAACAAATATCCAAAACGGTGTCAAAAAATATCTAAAAAGATCTAAATCTGCGTGGAAAAGATCTATAAAAAACATCCAAATTGAAAAAGTCAAAAATTACATAGCTTTTGTTATGACTTACCCTACATAATCATGTCCTCACCTTCACTGATGTCTGCCTCACAAGATCCACGGGATAAACTTAGCTTGGATAATGAAGTTGAAGCTTCAGATCCAAAATGACCCTGGTATGCTTTAGCTGTTTAAATGTCTTTATAAGTGGAACAGTAGGCTTATTTCTCTTGTCTCATCAGGCCGAATTTTAATGGCACAATAGCATTTAAGAGGTCAAATTTCATCCTGTTTTTTAGGTTAGATTTGATATAATTCCTAGCACTGAAAACTCTTTCTACGTCAGCATTTGATTGGGGTAGTATCATGGCAGACGTGGCACTTTAAAGAGCTTACAGAATGGACTGTTTGATGAGGCATCTTTAAATTGTCTCACTTAACTCCAAAACGCTGTAGTTTCTGTTTTGTTTGTCCATTCAGCTAACTTTCTTTTGGTTAACTGATATTCTGCTTCCGCGACACTATTATCAGTAGCCCCTAAAAATTTAATAACTTTACAATATATGTCCTTTATTGGCTGAAGTATGTTGCTCACAGAAAAAAAGTGAAATATTTTTCAAAACATCTAGATTTTCATGAAGTCTCTGCTTCAATTGCTTCAATAATCAGATAAGGAAATCTTGACAGCGTTTTCTTAAGTTGTTCTCTTCATTCTCTGTTAACAGTCCTTTTGTTTTTAAATCATCAATTTTTGATTCGATTTAATATCCAAGGTGTGGCTCAGGAGCCAAATAGCTCTCTATAGTGCAAGTGAGCAAATCAGCTTTAGAAGTTGGCAACACTAGTCTTTTACCGAGTGAAATAGCAAGGTGAGATCATCAAGTAATTTAACTTTATCAACAAGTTTAGATTCGAACAGTTTATTAACTTTGTGCACTTCAATTAGAATAGGTTATAAAAAGAGAATGAATGGCAAATTTTTTTCATCACTGTACATTCCATATAGTATTTCAATTGTGTGGCACTTTTCACTTTGTCTTGTTATTTTAAAGTGTGTCTTCAACTTCAGCCATTGCTTCATAATTCTTTCAACAGCTGGTTAAATTGATAACCATCTAGTTTTGCAATCTGACACAATTTTCGGTGGTGTGGAACCATCATTCAAGGCTGTATATAATGAATTGTTTTGCTGTTGTCTGACAAATGATTTGGAAAACCAGTGAAGTGTTTCAGCAATAAGGTTAATGCTAGCTGCAATGAATGACGCATACATTTTATAAGTATTAATGATAGGTTAGCTTCCTTCAACTTGGCATAAACGCCAATGTTTATAACAACCATCACTGAGGCATGATCAGTACCAATTACAGCCAAATTCTTCATGCCTAACTGTTTGCTGATTAAAATGTCCTTCAGTTCCTAAACTATACTTTCTACATCACACTTTTCAAATTGAACTAGTCCAAGATTTTTTACAAATCGATCAAATGGTCACAGTTTGAAATTGCGCAGTGACAAATTAAAAACATTGCGACTGATACTTCAACTTTTGATGATTCATTTATCAGTATAGTTCTGAAAACAGATGTCAGCAGTGTAATATCTTTAAATGAAACTGCAGTTTTATGCTTTTTTAGTCTCTGCATGACTCTTTGAGTTTTGTATTTTCGCTTTAATTTCACACTTGCGGTTCTTACAACAAGCTTTGGTCATATCCAGTTTTTAATTTTGTCATCATGCAACCACCCTTTCCAAATTTTTTGCTCATACTTTACTTTTGCATGTTGAAAGGTTTTTTCAAAGTGAAAGCCACATAAGAAGGTGAGCAATTATTTTTTTTTTAATTACATGAAAAAAGAAACGCAAAGTCAGCACAGCGAGGATACGGTTGAAACAAAGTTAGTATGATTTACGCGCGTTTTTATTAATCAGTACCGGGGCTGCCAGATATTTGTGCGTTGACCCCAGTGAGAGTTCAAAGTTCAAGTAATGGCAGTTGTCACAATGTACGTGCCAGACCAAAACAAAAATATTGTAGTAAATATTTTACACAGTAATTATTAAATTGACAATGAAAGAAAAAAAAATCTATAAAATATCTAACTCCATATGAAAAGAATCTAGAAAAGTATTTACGATCTAAACGTCAAAAACAGTATCTAAATGCAATGAAAAAGATCTAAATTTGGATATAAAAGATCCAAAGTGGCAACACTGGAAACAAGATGCTAAAGCCAGAATTCAGTTTTCAACTTGTAGTGGTTTCCCCTATGCTAAAAAAGTGGTCTCCACAAGAAAAGGAAACAAATAAATTCAATCAATCCCACCGTAGCCATCCCTAAAAGGAAGTTAGGTTGCACTTGATCTTT